TCTGGGTTGCGGAGTCAAATGTGGGTGGGGAACATTCCTCCAAATCCTCAGCTTCCTAGCTTTTGTGGTTTCCGAGTTGAAAGTTGCGGACAAGTTGCTGCGGATACACACAAACACACATACATACAAATAAACACACAGACAATCCCGTGACAATATGTGCTTCGTGCAGCTGTAGCACAGCACAAAAAGCATAATAATTGGCCAATGCACGGGCTGCGCGTGCGAAGATGCGTTTTTTTACGTAGCTCCCAGCAGATTTTTGTTGCTAACGGCACTGGTTTTCCTAGCTAAAAGAATTTCAGACTGGCTGTCAGCAAAATCAGGAAACGTCCTTCAAAATTCCAGTCTTCTAGCTTCTCACTTTCCTGAGTTAGCAACTTACCCGAAAGAAACTTTCAAGGGCCCGTACGTAGGTACCACGCTTACACGCGGGCAAGGTTTGAACTCATTAATACCTACTTGGACGGGAACGTCACTCTAAGTTTTCAGCGTTCCAGCTTCTCAGATCCCCAAGTTATGAACATACCCCAAAAAACTTTGGCAGGCCCGTACGCGGGTGTTGGCACCCATTTTGGAGATTGCGGCCGGCACATGCATGTAGATTAAGTTCCCGAAATTTCAACCCCGCAGCTTTTATAGGTCTTGAGATGAAAGTGCATGACAGACGCACGCACAGACACACGGACACACAGACAAACCCTCGTCAATATGCGTTTACTGCATTGCATAGCTGCAAAAAAACGCATAAAAATGGGTTCAAGAACCGGGGATATTCCTTACACTGTTGGCTTGAACTCAGAGCAAAACTCACCCGTGCACTAGCCGGGGATTTCCAGATTCGTATGATAGTGTCCGATCCACCAGAAAACAGCCGACCTGTTTGTGAATCGTATTGCAAACAGTTGACGCCTGATCGATGCAACGGCTCCTTTTCATCACGAATCACAAACGATACCTTTAAATAACCACTCAAACTATAATCAGTTGGAAACTAGAAAACCTCACACCTAAAATTCCCAGAAATTTTGAAAAAAAAAAAATTAAAATCTTCCAATCCATCAAAGCTAAATCAAAAAATTACATGAAAGTCACATCTACACAACTTTAAAATCGCCCAGAATTTTACTAAAAAACTGTTCAGAAAAAAACAGTTTAAAATGAGTTAAAGCTGCAAAAACAATTCATTTCCATAAAAACGCATGTAATTATTTTTTAAGAAATCATTATTTTTAAAGAAAAACTGCCCGGACGTTCCTAACATAAATGTATATTTGTGCGAAATGGAAGTAATGCAAAATACAGGCTAAATAAATATAAAGATATTTTGCATAAATTATGTCGAACATTTATGTACAGTTAGATGAAACATGTAGTAAAATGTGTTACAATATGTTTGTTTTCAGCAGCCGTATCCCCCTATCATTCAGTTTCATTCGGATGTATTCCCAGGGAAGCAAATGCTAACAGCAACCACATACTACTAACAAGATTATCACTGGTTCCCTCTTTCAATCGTCCTATTGACGAGATCCAATTGTGGTAATGGTAAGAAATGTATATGACTTAATGGATTGGAACATTTATTACTATTATAATAATTTTATTAAAATATTTTGCTACTTTTACTGATTTCTTAATTCTCTCTTCGAATCTCCTTCTTATTTCAGTATACCTTTCCATTGCTTAGTGTTGGACAAACCTGTATTTTCTTCTTCACTGGTGCAGTTGCCATCATTTCGCAACTCATCCAAAAGGAAGCTGTATCACAGCACACTTGAGGTGCTTCATGCGCTACAGCGTATTTTCATGGTTCGCGTCCTTGAAGTATTAAAAAACTGCTGAACCAAGTCAACCAAATAACGGTCGCATGTCGTCAACAGTGATGGAACTACAGGCTTAATACACATGGTACCTCTTCCGTTACGAAAAAAAAAAAATATTGCAAAGCACAAATTAAATATTCCCAAGAGAACTTGTGTAACGATCAGGAAGGGGGTCGCTAGGGGGTTGAGTGAGTGTGGGGAACACGCATTCCAAATTAATAAACAATCCTTTATTAGTTAAGAATTACAAAATCAACAAAAAATCAAGAAAACCACGGAAAAAAAAAATCCAGCTCCAAGCTGCCGTTGCACAATTTCCTAGTGCCACAAAAACAATTCCAAGTTCACTTCTAATCACTACATTAAATACCACGGAGGTGGAACTCGATACAGAATCAACAAAAAATCAAAAAAAAAAAAAAAAAAAAAAA